GGGATGGGATTAGCCCGGGTGCTGTTGGCTGGAACAGGCTGGGAGCTCGGGGCTTGCCCACGCAGCGCCGAAACGCCAATGGCAAAGATTTGGCAAAAGAAGCGACTGTAGGAGAGCGGCAGCACTGAAAGGGAGATAAAGAAATCCCTCAGACCTTCCGACAAATGCAGCGAAGGCTTTAAAAGAGTGTGAATCCTCCAGTAGAAATCCCAGCGAAACCTAAAAAGCGGTTTCTAAGGCAGATTTTGGACGTGCGTGATTTGGCTTTGTGCTTTATCGCGGTGTCTGAGGGAGGCTGAAACCCCCCCCGGGTCCTTCCACCGGGCAGGAGGCACTCGGGGTTTATCCCCTCTGCCTTGCTTGAATGTGGCGCCATGTCCCAAGCCAGCGGTCCCTCCTGCCGCCACCGGCTCCGTGACCCTCACGGAGTCAGACATGGGGGACACAGTGACCCTCACGGAGTCAGACATGGGGGACACGACCAGCAAGACCTGTAGGGACAAAGCTCGCGGTGCAAAGGCGGGGGCTCTCCTGCCTCGGCCGGGCTGGGCGAGCGGGCGCTGCACTGCGGGGCAGGAGGGCACCGGGGTGAAGATTAAAGGAGCTCTGAGGATGAAGAAGGCCCTTGGTTGTACCTTGGGCTCATTAGCGACGTGTCCATCAGAGATCTTGAGCTGTCTCTGGGCTCTCTTGCTCGTCACATAACACAGGTCCCTCATTTCCAGCTGCTGAGATGCATTAAAAGAAAGCTAAAAATATATTGGTTTCCAAATACTGCTTTCCCATGTAAACAGTGGCGGCAGCGGCGGGCAGGATGTAACGCAGTCGTAAACAGGGTGACATCACCCCGTGACGGGGAAGGCACGCGTCCCCGCGCTCTGGGGCCGGTGGCCATATGAGGAAAGCACGAAACCAACGGGTCTGGGAGACAAATGGGGATGCTCCCGCTTGGAAAAAGCCTGGAAAAACCTCCGGGTGGGTTTTAGGTGAGGGTCTTTATCTGCAGGACGTGGCCATCAGATGGTCTGGGGTGGCTCCAGGGCAGGAGGGGGTCTGAGCTGGGTGACAGTTGGGTGACAGCCCTCAGTAGAGCTGTTTGGTCCTCTCCCCACGGTGAGCTGGCTGCCAGAGCGTGGGCATCCCAGTGCCCGAGCCAGGGACCCCAACTTGGGTTTGGCCAAAACATACTGGTAACGGGGCAGGTGGGGAGGAGGAGGTTCAGCGACTGAACAAAAGCCAGATGAGGGGTCCTGGTGGTCCATTCTGACCACTGCCACCGCACCACAGGTCCGGCGAGCTGCCATGTGAGCAGACGCGCTGTCCTGAGCTCGGAGCTGCAGCTCTGAAGCTCTCTCAGCCCTTTATTCCTGTCCCGGCGCTCGCTGCTGGTAGAGCTCCGCGTGCCGGCGCCGCTCGGAGACACCCAAAAGGATAAAAATTCAGCCGGGACCTTCGCATCCTGCCCTGTCCTTCCCTCGCACCAACGCGAAGCTCGATAAAACCCTGAAGTTGCAATTCCCACCACCCTTCGGCTTCTGTCCCCATCACTGGGGTGGCACTTGGTGACTTAAAGCCGTGACTTGGGGAAACCTGCAAGACCTCCGGCTGGGATCTTCAGGCCAGGCACAGCAGGTTTTTAATTGGCTTTAGTGCTTGCCGAATATTTCCCTAATGGTTTTAGAGATGGGGGGAATTTCTGGCTGTGAAACGGCAGCTCCACGTTGAGAGAGAGAGAGAGAGAGATCGTTCCTTCTTCGAAGTGGAACAAAAAGCCTCTCCGCGCCCCAGCCTGGATGCCTGGGATTCCTTGCGGAGGGGCCCCGGAGCGGTAACGGTCCTGCTCCTGCTCCTGCTCCGCCAGCTCCCGGCCAAGGTGGTAGCGGGGGGAACCGGGGGCGGCTTTGCCGGAGCGCTGGCACGGCACGGCCCTCCGTCTCTTGTTGTTTCAGCTGCGCCGGATTAATAACCTGGACCGAGAGCCGGTGTGTCCCCCGCCAAGGATAAAAATCCGGGCTTTGGGACGTTCTTGCAGTGCTGGCAGCCGGGAACGGAGGAGGCTGCGGGGCCAGCCCTGACCGTCCCTCTGTCCGTCCAGGAGGGCGAGGGGGAACACGGAGGGGATATGGATGGGCAAAGGGGCTCCCAGACACTGTGGGGGGGGGGTGGCTGTTCGTACACCCCTCCCAAGTCCCCTCTTTTCCTCCTCCCGCTCTTTTTCTTGGTAATATTTAACGACGGAAATAAGAAAAGGGGTTTCCAAAGATTTCCCGGTGTGCGACCAGCCCCGCTGAGCGCTTCGGGCCGTTTAACGGGTGTTCCTCCTCCATGGCCCCCAACCCTCCCCTCCTACAAAACACCCGTTCCCGTCTCTCCGAGCGGAAAAAGTCCCTTGGGGAACGTGGTGCTGGAGCTGCTGCGTGTGCAGCCGGTGCCGGGGCACTTGGGGACCCTTGGGGACAGGGAAGCCGGGCTCCCACCACTGCCGTGCCGTGACCTTGGCCAAGCCCCGGTGTTTTTGGAGACGGCGGGCAGGCACCTGCAGCACGTCCGAAAAAAATCAGGCTTTCCATCTCTCCTTTGGCTTCAACCTCTGGGTCATAATGCGGCCACGGCGGGGCAGGGAGGCTTTTGGGGGAGCTGCAGCTGGTGGTGGTCACCATCTCCCAGCTTTGGCACTATCGGGGTGCGCGGTGCACCTGCCTCCCGTATTTTTATCCCGACGCTCTAATTCCTCCCCGAAGTAGCATGGCGGGGTGGGCTGGTGGGGCGGGTTGTTGCCTGGAGATGCGTGTGGAGGCTGTTTCGAGCCCTCCTGTTTTCTCTCCCGAGTCGGCGACGTCCCTCGGCATCACTTGGCAGCAGTGATTCACGCGCCCCGGCTGCCTCCCGGCCCCCCAGCAGCCTCTTTAAATTGGGGTAC